CGCAGAAATAGAAAATAGATTATTTCAAGGTAACAATACTGCTCTTGGTAAAATTTCAAACCAAATAAATCACGGTAACATCTACTGCAATGATGAGGTGCTTGAAAATAATGATACGAAACCAAAGCGGCCTTTTCTTAAACGCGGGGAGGGTATTAAGCAGCGTTATAAAATTTCTCCGGAGTCACTGCGACTGAATAATTTACCACGCTATAAATACGCTACAACACATCCAAAAATTAAAAACTTGCATCGACGCAGACTAGCTCCTAAAGCAAAGCCTTCATTGGAAGATGCAAACGAAAAACCAAAATCAGTCGAAACGCTTAAGGAATTAATTAAGCATGATGATAATGAAAAACAATTCGAACGAATGTTGACTCAATCAAGGCCTGGCTATAGCTCAACACCTGATACCAAATATTCAAAAACTGCCTTCTCGTCAATTTCTATTACTCTACCAAGTGTAAGATTGCCTCAAGGTGCAACCATTAATTCACACTCATGTGAAAAATATGATGAAAATTATAGGGAACAAGTTGAGCCCTTTGTCGCCATAACTTGGTCAAAAGTACTGGACTCGCAACAAATAAATCCAATTCCAATAAATGAAATTCGAGCTATTACCGCTAAAACAGAAAATGAGATGAACCCTAGTAAAAATAACAACATAGAAGATGATGAAAACTTAAGCATTTTTGAACTTCTGGAGCGACAAGCAGCTCAAGGAGCAATCGACATGAACTCTAGTTGTGTGAAAAAATTTATGGATCAGAAAGTTCATTCTGAGCAGAATGCGGAGGACGAAATTGAAATTCCTATAGGCAAGCGCTATACAAATGACAGTTTGCGACCTGCAGTTGAAGAAGTTCTGAGAGACGATTCAGATGATGATCAAAGTTCTGAAGGAATTGAAGAGAAAAGTGTACGGTGTCAAACGCCTGGGATTTCTACTTACCTTAGTGATGAATCGAAAACTGATTCAACATTAAACGTCGAAAAGACGGATTTACATGTTCGTTTTTCCGAGCAAAACACCACTTGTGAATATTATAATCGTGATGACATAATATCAAATAGCTCAATAATGTTGGAAGAGGAAACATCATCCAATCCATCCGACTTATTTCATCAGTTCAAGGATGCACTCCTTAGCGCATTGCTAACTAAGGGTGATGGTGACGGCAACAGTACAGAAAAGAAACTAGTGATGCCATCACCACCATCTGCGCTTACGCAAGAGCTGCAAGAAAAAAGTAATATAATCAAGTTAAGACTCGAAGAGCTGGAAAAGGAAATAGCCGTATTCAAAACCAACAATATGGAATTAATGCGCGCTAAGCAGGAGTATGAAATGGAACGTGCACATTTCAGTCAGGAACGTAATGAAGCGCTGGATCGATTAAAAGACGATAAAATTCAAATGGAAATGTATCTTCACGACGAACGTATGAAAATTGAAGAAGAAAGACGAAAATTTGAAAATCAAATCCGCGTGCAGAAACAAACATTGGCCAATAAAGAGCGGAAAGAAATTGCTCGTCTAAGGGAAGAAGTGGAAACCTTACAAATTCAGCTAAAGCAAAAGGATCAATTACATGCATCTGCGCAGGCGCGATTACGTGTGCAAATCCGAAACTTGGAACGTGATCAAAAGCAATTATATGATGATATTGAACGCTTGACAAAGGAAAATAAGCGTCTGCAAAGTGAAAAACAGAAACTTGAGCGAGAAGGCAACAATAAAATGCTAATGGAAATAAACAGAAACATCGCTAAGTTAGCACCAAAATTGGTGAGTAAAAAAATTCAAAAGTTTCTTTTAAATCAAAAGCATTTTGGTAAACCTGATATAAGCATGTAAATGTAATGTTAACCAATTTGTCTATAGGCGGCAGCTAATTCGTGCAATACGAGCCCGGAATATCCCGATTTGAATACTAGCTCACATAGTAAAAATATGAAAACGACGAACTCGCCCAAAGACATTCCAAAATCAAACGGAAAAGTTCAACGGTTATTGAAGGCACCACCGAACACTCGTAATACCAGCAAAACAGATATAACGATCGATGACGGAAATTCATGTACTATGCATAAGACTGAAAAGCCCATTCGACAATTTGAATCCGAAGCTGAGCTTGCAGATGACGATGATGATGATATTATTTCCGAACTTCAAATGACACGTAATAGCAGAAGTGTAAAATCGTTTCAGGGTTCATCGCGTTCAAACACATCGAGAGAAACTGTCGTTTTAAAATTCGAAAGAAATAAGGATGAGGATGTGCAAAAGGATAATAAAGTGGAATCAATAGCTGGAAGTTTTGATAAGGGAAAGGGAATCGACAAATGCCGCACCGAAGCAAGTGAAAATTATCGACGAGAAATTATCAATCCAGATGGTAGCAAGGACATTTGGTACCCGAATGGTAATTTAAAAAAAATTTCTTCCGATGGAATGAACATAAGGATGTTATATTTCAATAAAGATATAAAAGAAACTAATGTCAATGAAGGCACAGTTAAATATTACTTTGCTGGAACAAATACCTGGCATACAACGTATTTGGATGGATTAGAAATTATCGAATTTCCGAATGGTCAAACAGAGCATCGGTATAAAAATGGTGTCGTTGAAATTCATCTCCCAGATCATTCCGTAAAAATTATCAATCCCTCAGAAAAAGATAAATTAGTGGAGTGGCGTTTTGCTGATGGCACAAACCTGATACAAATGAGAAATGGCGATAAAGTTTTGATGTTACCCAACGGTCAAAGGGAGATACATACGAAACTCAATAAACGTAGGGAATACCCCGATGGTACTGTCAAGCTTGTTTACCCTGATGGAAGCCAAGAGACGCGGTACTCTAATGGACGCATACGATTGAAAGATAAAGATGGAAACCTTGTGATGGATACCGAGAGGACATAAAATAAATATGTGGGAAGTTATATCAGCTCTGTGTTACTTGTAAAATTAGTACATACTGTAAACTAACTTAAAAAAAATTACTCGTGTTTGTACAAACAAAAACATTTTTATTAAGACATCCTTTAGAAAATAAACATATGATAAAAATTATTTTAAACAAATTAGTCAAACTTTCCATTAGAAATAGGATCGTCTTCTTCCTCTGGCGGATCAAAATCTCGTATTTTCACATCGGCGTCCTCTCCATATTGTATGACATTGTCTATTTGAAGAAGTAAATCCTGTATACTTTCCTCATCGTCAATGTTCAAGGGAACAAATCGAACTAGACTGAAAATAGTGAAAATATGAAATATGCTCGGTACTTTTTTAACATTTTGTTTGTGTTTGAATGACCCTATTATGATAGTTGTTTTTTACAAATATACAGTTACTCCCAAAATGAGCGTACGCCGCTTTTTTGTTTATTCGCAATGTTTTACATGCTAAAATTTTTTTGTTAATTTTGTTTTAAGATATATTTAATATGCAAGGGGGGCTACTGTGTAATGCGATGCGATAGGCAAAAACATCGTAAGTCCCCTTTCACAGCGGCTACACACGACGAACATATCCGCGCACATGCGCGGCTTGCGGGTCATGTTCGTCGTTTGTAGGGCGGTTTGCGATCATGCTCGCCAAAGATCAGAACTTACAGGAAGTCGTTCCTATTGACATAAAACCTGTAAGTGGGAACACTTTTGAGAGAGTAACTGAGCAACAACTGTTCCTAGTCAGAAGTTACAGGATTTAGTCCGGAGTTTCTTTTCCTGTAAGTTCATGAAAAGTGTCAAACGATCAGATGATTTGCATGTGCAAACAAAAACAATAAACGGTGGAAGCAAAGAACCTTATCATTTATAAAAAAAAAATGGAAGTAAACAACGAAATGTTTGAATATGTATAGATTTTAATAATTATTTAGTGATATTTCAGCCAAATCAGTGTTGTACAAATGACATGTAAACAAACCGACTGACGTTTTTACAGGAAATAGTGCTTTTTGCGTTCCCGTGCCCTTCTGCATCTGTTCTCCTTTTACTCTCACTTGAGAGAGTAAAATTGTAGTTTGACAGTTCCACAGGTTTTAGTCCGAAGTTCAAAGGAACAGACTAGTTGCGTCCCAGATAACATTCAAAAGTGTAAAACTTAAAACGTACGAAAAGTCATCACAAAGCGTTATACTGACACAGTTTATTGATTAAACAAATAACTACTTATTTCTTAAAAGTTTAATTAGTCGCATTTTGTAATTTTTAACTTCCAAACCATCAAATTCAATTTTGTGATTTTCGTAAATGCCAACCAGCTGTTTTTGATCAGCTGTTTTCCTGTTGGCAAAAATTTTTCCAGCAGAAACCAGCAGCTTCCCCTCAAAATGAAAAATCTCTCAATTTCCCCTACTTTGCAAGTTTTTTGCGTATGCGAACGCAAAAACTTGTAAGTTTTGGTTAAACATGAACAATTAACAGCTACGCGAATGCAACTATTGCCTTTGTTTCTTTTCTTTTCTAGCAGATAATTATCAGGAAGAAGAAGAATGAGAAAATTTAAAGAATTACGCTCGCAGAGAGCGAATCAACGAAAAAGTAAAGAAACGCAAAACTAGCAGAAACTAGCAAGTAATCAGCTGATCGGTGTATTTGACTAATGAAAATATTTGGCGCGAATTTTTGTTTATCCATTTTGACAGCTGCTAGAAGAGCGTAAGAACGAGAGAGCTGCTAGCTTTTTGGGTTAAGAAACGCTTTCCAGCAGAAATAAGTGATAATTTTTGATAATTATCTGTTAAGAAACAAAGCTATTATTGCATCATGACCTGGAACGGCTTCCTGTAAAAACCTGCAAATCCTGAAGCAACTGGAATGCAACTAATAAAACGTCGATCTGGCAGCACATACATTGCAGCCAACATAAGAACAGGAATTGGTGCAGCCATTTTTTTGGTGCGAAAAATTATGGCATTTTTCAGACAGAACGCACTGTAAAACCGAAATCACTCTGCTTTTTAATCTGTGGGAGATTTCTTTTGCAAAATCGAGAATACAAAATATCAACAAGCAGTGATTCAAGAACGATTCAAATATGCCTCAAATGGATATATCACAAGTCCAAATGGTGCGCTCTGCAAAAGATGTTGACATGCTATGTGTCGACAATTTTCTCTATCATTTTGTCGATCGTGGCAAAAAACAAAAATGCCGGTGGGTTTGCAATAAGTTAAAAAGCAAATACCAACCGTGTCGATCGCGTATAGCTACTGTTATTGTAGATGGTGATGATAGCCAGCATAAGATAGTACGAGTGACAAATGAGCATACGCATGAACGTTGCACTGAAAAGGAAATATCTAAGGTGGTTGAACGAAAGCTCCGAGCAAACTTGGCCGGAAAACCGTGCACGCTGAGAAACAAACGAAAATCAAATGCTTCAGCGGAAGAACATGAAGATGAATCTAACTCAAATATTCAATATGACGAAGATATGGAATCAGACGAGTGGCCAGCTGATGATGATGACTTCTTTCCTAAGCAAGCTAAAATTAGTAAAAAGCAAACTGTTGCAAATTCCGATGATAGACAGTCAACCTCTGGTTCAGCGAAACACTTTTTCAATTTCGAGGTATAGTATATGTATTGACAATTTAACCACTTTACTAGAATATTTCGAAAAACGTAGCTAGCAATAAGAAAAAGGGTACATATCGCACGTTTAATAATATAGAGATGTAACTAAAAATTTACGTTTTTGAGATTTCATTATCTAATTAATAAGCTATATAATAATTACTAAACATGCGATATGTATATTTCGAAATTCGAGTGGACTTATCTCAATATTATAGATTAAATAGACGTAATTCGATTAATATTCCAAGAAAGCCGCACATCAACTACTATTTTAAAAGAGATACGACTTAGAGGATGAATCGAATTCCGTATATTTTTGTAGACTTGTATATTTTTGTCGAGTTTTGTCTTCCGAGATAAGTCTTTTTGAATTCTAAGCCCTAACTGACTTTATTTTCGAAGTGGGTTATTTTAATTTTTTTACAATCAATTAAATTTAGGTACAGGGAGTTTTTAGCATAATTTTATTTTTCGCAATTGTTTTTATAAAAATATGGTATAAAACAAAAACCCATAAAAATCAGAACCAAAAAGGGAACAAGGGATGACGGAATTTTATTCGAAAACACATCATTTACTTTAGAACGGATTTCTATTTTAAATTAAAACGTCGCTTCTACAAATATTCGAATTTGTCCTTTATGTCCTCATGCTTTGATATCGATGAAATACTTCTGCTTGTATGGCTATAACTTACCTATTAATGTATAATATAATTTCTTATTATCAACTCATTAGAAACAAAAATTATACATGCTTAAAACTGCTCTTGGACGCCAAATGATATGCGTGGAAGGATTTCTTTACCGTTTAGAATCCAAATCTATAACTTCGAGCACTCATCGATGGGAGTGCATAAAACAAGATCCCCCATGTAAAACTCGTATTCTCACTGAGTGTATTTCAAATAACACTCATCGCTTAAAAGGCCATCAGCTGGTATCACACAAACACGACGCTTATACTCCATTGAAACTAACGAAATTGCTTCTTAAAAATAATATAACCGTACTAAATCAAAAAGGGGAGGCAGATAAGAATTTTCATTCAATCGAAATAGTGGATTTATCAGAAAACGAAGCTTGCGCTACACCTTCAAATAAACCTCCGAAAAAACGCATAATGGAAAGTCTCAATGCCAAAACTATAAACCAGCGCAAACGATTACGAACAAAAGCAAAACCTGTGACCTATACCTATTCAGCAGATCCGCTTGCAGCTTTGTCTACTAGTACAAAAACTGATTCGTACAAAGCGAAATTCACCTTTTTGCCATCAGCAAAGGGAAATAAAGTTCTCTGTCTTGACAATTATATTTATCATTTGGATACGAGAAGTCCCCGTAATGGACGCGCATACTGGACATGTCTCTTACGCCGCGACAAGTTTTACAAGTGTAATGCGCGTGTCACTACGGAAATGACCCATAAGGGTCCTATAATAATACGTGTCGCTGGAACACATTTGCATTCGGATCATTCTGAAGATATTAAGCGCCGCTTATGTAGAAGTGTTGTGGTACAAAACGCTGAGAAAGCAGGCCTTAAAAAAGAAAATATATTTGATGAAAGTGGAAATGAATTGAATCAAGAGTTCAGAGAGATTGTGGAAAAATCAAAGGAGACCATTGAACGTAGTTTAAGTAAACTAACAAAAGACGAAGAAGAACAAGGGACATCAAAGAAGTAAGTGGTTCTGAACTCAGTCACATTTTGTTTCTAACTAGATAATTATTTTTAGTATTACTTCAAAAAGCATGCCTTTTAATGAAAATACGTCTTCGAGCCTCTCCAGTGCTTTAGACTCTGATGATGATCACCTAGATGACACATCTACTCTGCCCACAAAGTTAGAAGAAATGTGTAAGGACACTAAAACACAACCTTCTTTCAAAACCGAAGTAATCTACAAATCTACGTACGACGATTTGGCAGATGCAGAAGATGAAATGGAAGTAGAATATTTAGATATAAATACGTATACGAATGATGAAGATCATTTGGATGTAAGTGCATGCACGAATGATGATTTCTTAGATTTGTCTAAGGAACGTCAGAAAGCTATATTAAAGTCAAGCTTAACTAACGACAGTGAAATGAATGTGAACAATGTATCAACATTGCGCTCAGCTAAGGGCGGTGAATTATTATGCGTCGATGGTTATATTTACCATTTAAGGAGTTCACAAAATAATCGCACTTACTGGTCTTGTATAAAATGCAAAGATCCAGAGCTCAACTGCAAGAGTCGAGTATCCACAATCAATGTGGATGACGAAATACGTGTCTTTAGAACCACCAACCATCATACGCATCCGGTCATTGAAGCAGATATTAAGCGGCGTCTATATAATGAAATTAAAAATGATAAAATCGAGTCGCAACAAACATTTGCGGGATCATTCGATGCTATAAATGTGAAGTACACAAAAATCCTAGGCAAAGATCCAAACGTTAAAAAGGCTTTAGACAATTTCGATGCAGAAATTGATGATGCGATAGGGTAAGTAAAATATGATGCTCTCTAGATATTTAGCAAAAATTTCAATTTTTACAGCCAATTTCACGAAAGCAAACGGAATGAAAAATGATTTTAATTTTATATGGAAATTGGCAGAAAATAAAAAAATCATTTTCCATTTAAATTACTGGTGAAACCGGCTGTTAGGAAGGGCCCACAGCGGTATGTGGGTTATGGTCGAAAACAAAAAGTGTTAGGTCTTTCGATACTTTTACAAAGGCATATATCGTTACCTTAATATAGAAACGCCCTATCTGATATTTTTGTTCCTTCAAATAAATTTTGAAAATGTAGCAAAAAGCAAAGATATCTCCATAAAAGTATTGTCAGATGAATTTATGCGCAAATTGGGTAACTTATTACCAAAAAAATTATTTTTATGCTTTTTCGCCAAAATATGCATTTTGTGTCATAATATGCATTTGCATATTTTTGTCTTCCCTAGTTATTAATAATAATAGGGTGCATTCCAAAACGTCAAAATACGTCATTCGCTTTTATTTCTAAGCCGCAATAGAAGAAAAAGTCTTAACTAGCGCAACCCAGTTTAAAACTAGCACCTAACCGTGGTTGCGCATTTTTGGTATTAAAATCTGCTGAGGTTTAAAAATACACAAGAGACTAGGGCCGAATATTTTATTTGACGCTGTAATATTTGTTTTAAATTTCCATTAGATAATTGTGATCTTTTTGACAGATTTTGTATAAATCTGGATTCGAAATGAAAGTGAGTTAGGACCCTTCTATATTAAATTAACGATATGTATGTACGTATGTATATTCGAAGCTTTTTCTGAATTCATCGGCGATTCGATTCTCGTGAAACTAGCAAAACGTATGTATTACAAAATTGTACATTTTACGATGGATTTAGCAATTTATTGCTTATACTGCATAGGTACATCGATCGAAAAAGGTATACTCCTCTTTTATTTTGAAATCACAAAATATTTAGAGGTCGCTGAAAGCGCTAAAAGTTTTCCACTTATTTCGTAGAAATGGTATAGAATTTTTGAAAATCTATATATTTCGATCGGAAAATTCTGGTTCTCTTCAGGAGACTTTCAATAAAATCTTTGCGCATTTTCATTTGAACAATCATTACTTGGCTCATTAGATATGACTAAATGGAACCACCTTTTGTTTTAAGCTGAATAACGGTAAATTTAAAATATCTCGAAAACTTATGCATAGATTAAAAAATTAACTCGATTTTTGGAATTAGCGGGCGATTCTACATACAAATTAGAGATAGTGGCGTCTGGAGAACCAAAACCATATTAAAATTTGTGATCCAGTGTTATTGTCACTATGAAAAAAAAATTGTTAAATATGCAAATGGGTTTCTTTATCGGGGATCTCCTGCAGAGAAACAGAGTTTTCCAATCGAAAAATATTGATTTTTTATACCGTTGCTGCGAAAAGTTGTTTTTTTTTTCATATAAAATACATAGAAAACTTTGAGCGCTTTGAGCTACCTCTAAATAATTTTTGATTTCAAAATAGAAAATAGGGGTATATATTTTCGGTATAGAACAATCGTAATGGGTAAGGGCATTAAAATTCCCACTTTAGTTTTTTTTTTAGACCACCCTAGTGTACATACATACATTCATATGTATCTACATATGTATGTATGTAAGTACATATACATATATCTGAGTGTACATCTGCATTATATACATACATAGCTATGTACATGTAATTACTTGTACTATTCTAACGCCCACATTCTTCACTATTATTTATTTTTACAATGTTTTCACACATTTCTTGATGACCTGTCAAAAAAGGTTTTGAAGCAATTATTAAAATGAATTGCAACTTTAAGAGTGTGAGCTGTGATATACAATTGCGAACATGAAAATAGCAGAACCACCATTTTTTCTTTAGAACTTAAAGATCATTACTTTTAAAAACTTTTTACTACTACATTTATTTAATGCTAAAAAATATTAGTTTTGTTCGATAACAAAATTAGCCACCAATCCAAATCAAGTGCGTAAGTGAAAATTGTCTCCAAAACTTAACGAATCCATAGTTGAGATCCTTTAGGAAATTTAATATATCTGCTAGGGGCATTATTCTCGACCTGACGACATTTGTTACAATTGAATACTTTTGGATAGAAAAAAACCTTTTTAACATATAAACGAATTATCTCGGAATGAATAATTATTTTTCTCAAAATTAATCGTGATACCACATCATGACACACGTTCAAAAATAAGATGAAGATATGATGTAAACACTATTCGGAGTTGAACTTTGTTACAAGCGGCACTGCTATTCTAATGTTCGCAACTGTACATATGTACTGATTATAATCAAATGCATATTTGTCTTACAAATGCAGTAACCGTGTACTTAGATTAATCATCAACGTACATACCATGTACATACATATGTACATATATTAATGAATATTGCTTTCATTTTGAATTTCGGTTTTAATACCGCAGTTGGGTGTGCATGCGGTTAGCGTATTGGCCGCTAGTCCGAAGATCGTACTTTTGAATTTTACTTCAAGCATGAAACACCCACACACATCCTTATTTATAACTAGCAAATACCCGGCGTGCTTCACTTTTACCAATTCAATTTAATACAATATTTCAAACAGGTGGTAACCCTTTCTTTCTATATTTTAAGTTAGACCTCTAGTAATACATCGGTGAATTAGTTTTCAAGTGTTGCGCGTACAAACATACATACAGACAGACTGACAACAATTCTAAAAATTGTTGATTTGGCTTAAGTTGCTCTAATAAAAACCCACATATTTATTTTTCTTTGATATCTATAATGTACAAGCATCGGCCTGTTACAATTTTATTATATGTATAGATAAAAAAAAAATGGTATTCTAATACATAGGCCATAAGTAAGGTTATACGAAACTTGCACTTTAATGCAATATAAAACTGTGAAGTAATCCTCTTGTACCAAAATATGAATGTATACGAGGGTAGAAGCTCGGCCTAAATATATTACAGGTTATGAGGCGTCCTGTTATTTTTATTACTATTTATTCACTGCAACCAGGTTAAAAGCTCACCAAAGCTTTAATTTTAACTGATTGTGAAGTAGCCAAATTGTACAACCCGTAATAATTTCAGTTCACCAATGTTGAGCGTTGGTAGTTGGCTACTGGCATCGCTCATAACCAGTTATAAATTTGTGGTGCTTTGAAACTAATTATAGTAGTTGAATTTTCAGTTTGAAAGGTATGTAAATAATTAGCTTTTTCTAATAAGAGGCTCGAATACTCTACAAATAAGCAAGTTTACGTTTTGTTACTGTTACTATTTTTTCGTCACTTTATAAATACATACATATATACATACCAAGGCATATATGTACATACCACGTACAAGAATAAAAAAAAAACAGAAACGCATTTTTCTGTAACCAAACAAGTGTAACATGTTTAAAAATATCCAAGTCAGGACAGTTAGCACTGGTTTTAGACAGTGTCGGAAAAATGTTAATCTGATTAATGATTAAAAACTAATGGTTAAAAAGTTAATCGCGATCAATTACTAAGGCAATTATTAAGGCATATCATCAATACGATTAATGGCTAATTATCTTAATCGTAAGCATCGATGGTGTGATTACGATTAAAAATTATTTTACTTATCATTATTCGTTAATCCCAATATAAGAAAAAAGTGATTTACTACGCTTGACCGAATTTAAAATTAAACACCAGTTAGTTACTTTTTGTGTATTTGATGCTTATAAAAATCACGTAATATATAAACAAATAATTATAGTTATTAGTAATATGACAGACAGATGCAATTCCATATGTATCTAAAAAGTCACATTTACAAAAATGCAAATGCATATCGTATAAGAACACTTTAACTGAATTAGCGCATGGTTTTAAACCAATCTATAGATTAAGTGTATCATAGTCGTGTTAGTACCTGTTTATCACTTAGAGTTGCCTCTAAAATTAGAGTGACGAAAACCTGTTACTAAGGCTGGCACTAAATCTGACAAGCGTTGCGGAAACCTCCGAAAAAAAACAACTATATCATGACTTCGATTATTTTAAATTATGTTTTCATTTATTTTGGCAATTTTATTTTTAATTTTATGTACATTCATTTTATTAAGTTGGCTGCGCTATAGTAAACTAACTCAAATATCAGGGTTTCACGTTGTCATAAAACAGCCAATTTATTACTTTTGTAATAGAATTTTGTAACAAAGCCAGCTTTTCGTAGAGAATAAATAGTACTAAACTGAATATCGTCGCTCCCAACGAAGAGTAGCACATCTCAAATTACCGTGGAAGACTAGCACATTTCACTTTTCGCGTCGAAGACTAGCACATTTCATTATTCGCGTCGAAAAGTAGCACATTTCAGATTTTCGCGTGGAAGACTAGCACATTTCACTATTCGCGTGGAAGAGTAGCACATTTCAGAATTTTGCGTGGAAGAGTAGCACATTTCAGATTTTTGCGTGGAAGAGTAGCACATTTCACTATTTGCGTGGAAGACTAGCACTTTTCAGATTTTTGCGTGGAAGAGTACCACATTTCACTATTTGCGTGGAAGACTAGCACATTTCAGATTTTTGCGTGGAAGACTAGCACATTTAAGATTTTTGCGTGGAAGAGTAGCACATTTCAGATACTCGCGTAGAAGAATAGCGAATTCATATAAAGTGGTACTAGCAGCCGTACAAAAACCAAACATACGTGTATGTAATAATTATTTCTCCTCGACTAAGCTGAGAGTTTAATGTTGTGTATGGAGCTTTTCGGTATTTTATTACAACAAGAATAAACGTTTATTTTCCTCCTACTCGTTTGGACGCATATTCGCGTCTTCCTCAGGGAATCTATTTATAAATACGAGAAACATATATGTGCATTAGGGTGGTCCAAAAATGCATGTGAAAAAGTAAAGTCGGAATTTTTATGCTCTCACCCCCCAAGATTGTTCTATACCGAAAAAATATATCCCTATTTTTTATTTTGAAATCAAAAAATAGTTAGAGGTCGCTCAAAGCGCCCAAAGTTTCCCATGTACATATTTTATATGGGGAAAAACACTTTTGGTAGAAATGGTATATAATTCAAAAAAACTATTTTTCTATCGGAAAACTTTTTTCAGCTGCAGGATTCCCAATAATAATACCCAATTGTTTATTTAACCTTTTTTCATCGCAACTATAATTTGTAGGTCCGCCAAAAATCCCAAAAACCCCGAAAAATGCAATGGGGGACAAATAAAAAATCGTTAGTATTAAAAAATTGTTAAATAAATAATTGCGTATTATTATTGAAAGTCTCCTGAAAATAACCAGAGTTTTCTGATCGAAAAATATTGATTTTCAAAAATTCTATACCATTTCTACGAAAAGTTGTTTTTTCCCATACAAAAATACATGGAAAACTTTGAGCGCTTTGAACGACCACTAAATATTTTTTGATTTAAAAAAAAAATATGGGTACACTTTTCTATATACAACAATCCTAGGGAGTGAGAGCATTACAATTCCGACTACTGTTTTTGGACCACCCTAATGTACATGCAGTCATATCAAAAGCACCTCATTTCAAAGTGATATTGTTTTCCACTTATTTTTATTTACTTATTTTTTAAGAATTTTCATTAAAATAAAGTTCATTCTCTGAAGAAGTCCATATAAACCCATGATTCAATAATAGAAAGGTTTTGTAATAAAACAGTCTTCTCGCTCCCATACATAAAATCGGCTCCTTTACTTGTGCATAATGTTGCTTACTCTAGAGTTTCTAGTGATATTAGTAGTAAAACCAAAAATTCTTCATACTAAATATTCGTTGGCGTCACCTTGGTTTGCGTAATTTTCTAGAACAAGTGTAGAATAGCGACCGTTTAGCTATAAAATAACCAAACATGCCGATTGATAGAACTTTTTACGCTGATTTCAACGATACCAAATTTATTTGTCACTGGTAAAAAAAGAAGATATAAGAGGTTTATTTGTATTTTTTATTATCACTAAATTGTTGAAACCCAAAAGTAGATCATGATAAAGTATGTAATATCGAATTAAAGATAATAACTTGTACTTTCTAAATTATATAAAATTCTTTACCATTAATTATGCAGTTTTTTCAAAAAAAGGTTATTTCATGAAAAAATAATATTTCTTGGATTTTTAGTGGTTTTGGTTTAAAAATACAAAAAGCTATAAATTATGTACATCAGCTGAAGAACAAATTAATGACCTTTATGGTGACGTCATTAGCTGTTTAATTGGTTATAAATTACATAAGATATTAATATTTAAAATATCTAAAAACTGAACTTTAACCTTCTAGAACCTCTTCATTTTTTACTTGCGCCAAATCATTTTGGCATGGCTGAAATGAGCATAAAAAGTTCTATTGATCCGCATTTATAGTTTTTGCATAGCTGAACGGTCGGCATTCTAGATTTGTTCCCGGAAATGACGAAGAACTTAATTCGAAAATGCATATTTTTATGTATTGTTTAGTATTTCCATTAAAACACCAAATATATTGCAAATTCGCATAGAATTAATAATACACATTTTACTTCTAATTGTATACTTTGCGTACTTTTTGTAGTACCATTCTACTACCGTTTTCGCAAAATGCGATCACATTCTTCCCCTTTCTCCTACTTCCAAAATACAAATCTAGATAGAGGAGTGTCAAATTTTAGCTGTCACAAATTACACAACCTTGTATTATTGAATCATGATATAAACCCAAATTTAAAACTTTATAGAAAACTAAAAAAATCTAAAAATGTTCATCCAAATGTCAAATAATTTTTTTCTAAGAATTTTTTGAGTATATAGAATTAAAGCCCTTTCAATTTTATTGCAATAATGTGCAAGTTTCAAGTGGCTAAAAAATTTCCGTTGTTGCGGTTTTCTTTCATATAAAAATAAATTGTGTTTATTCGTTATATAGTAGCAAATGCGACAAAAATAATCAAAGGAATCATAGGATATACCGTCGGAATTTTATGAATTTTATAATAGAATTACACAAATATAAAATAAGCACTTGAATTTCCAATATAAATTATGCTTTTATGATTTAGTTTAAATGTGCTACTCTTCCACGCAAACATCTGAAATGTGCTAGTCTTCCACGCAAAAATCTGAAATGTGCTACTCTACCACGCAAAAATCTGAAATGTGCTAGTCTTCCACGCAAATAGTGAAATATGCTACTCTTCCACGCAAAAATCTGAAATGTGCTACTCTTCCACGCAAAAATCTGAAGTGTGCTACTCTTCCACGCAAAATTCTGAAATGTGCTAGTCTTCCACGCAAAAATCTGAAATGTGCTAGTCTTCTACGCAAATAATGAAATGTGCTACTCTTCCACGCAAAAATTTGAAATGTGCTACTTTTCGACGCGGATAATGAAATGTGCTAGTCTTCCACGCTAATAGTGAAATGTGCTAGTCTTCCACGCGAATAGTGAAATGTGCTACTCTTCGTAGGGACCGACGATATGATACACACGAAAATAAAATGAGCTTTAACATTTTAGTATCACTCTTAACTAAAGCTGGCTCTAATCATGATTGCGATTACTTGTTTAATTAATTACTTGGCTAATAAAAAATAATTTAGTCATAATTAACTCTAATCCGATCAGCTTTAGTGTCAAATTCATTAAAAAATCAATCGATTAATGCCAACAATGGTTTTAGAAAAATCACTTACTATGTAATTGGAAATGTAGCAGACTTTCTGAAGGTTGAGCAAATGTATCGCAAACGATCTTCAAAGGTGACACAAAATTACATGCTAGTCGGAAAATGCGAAAAACTATTTCTTAGCACATGGTAATCATATGGGCAAGGAAGACTTTGCCTTAAGGCTGAATTAGTGGTGCCATAAGCATAACCATAGCAATTAAATGTTCGATAAAACGCATGCGCAGCTCTGTAAACGGGTATTGGTTCCATTTATAACGCCAGAGCCATAACCATAACCGTTGGTATCTATTTTATTTTAGTTTTTCGCCATAACCATAAGTAGATCCGCAGTATTTTGCTACGTTATGGCCAAGGTGTCATGGTTAATGGAGCCACTAATTTGGCCTTTAGGTTTTATCAACAAATTATAACAAAAATTTGCTCCAAGTTTTTATTGTAATTGTAATTGTAATTTATTGCAGTCAAATGAAACAGACTAGATATAGAAATTTAGCTACTTAGACGATACGTGTAAAACATAAAGCACTCTACAGTTTCGAGATCAAAGAAAAAATAAATAAACTTTTTGGGAGAGAGAAATCCATGGAACGCAACTAATGCAAATAGAATCTCACTTTCAATTCTTTTATACTTTTACAAATTTAGAATGACTATGAAACTGTATGCTGTCTCCGATGGACCACCATCGCTAGCCGTCCGTATGGTTCTCCAGGCTCTCAATATACCTTATGAATTGGTAAACGTTGATTTCATCGCAGGCGAACATATGACCGATGAGTATGCGAAGGTAATATAATTGGGTATATGTATATGTATGTACATACTTACATATCTGTGGACATTTGACAAAACAACTTCTCCCGAGATAAGACAATTTTCCAAAATTTCTATCATGTACATGAATTTTCAATGCTCGTATTTCTGTCTTACCGCCATATTAATATGACCTTTAAAATAAAAGTTAAAGCAGTATTATAATGAACTTTTTTCTTATTTTTTCGAAACTGCACTTGACAAAAGATTTTCTTTCAAATATTATAGCAAAAGAACTTGTCTCTGTGCAATTTCTGCGATTTGCATTTGACACCACAACCTCTTTCGATTGAAGTTGTTTTGCCCAAATGACATTTACTATTTTACTCCAAACTCAATTTGACAAAACAACTTGTAAGGGATAAGACATGGTAAAATGGGGATAAGATTAGAAAAAACGTCTTATTTATATACACTGCCGGAACAAAGTATTGGCACTGCAAATTTAAATATTGTTTTTATGTGTTTCTTTCAGATGAATCCACAAAAAGAAATTCCGGTGCTTGATGATGATGGTTTTTATTTATCGGAGAGCATTGCCATTATGCAGTATCTATGCGATAAGTACGCAACGAATAGTAACCTTTATCCGAGGGATGCCAACAAACGTGCTATAGTAAATCAACGGCTGTGTTTTAATATGGGTTTCTATTATTCAGCCATATCAGCTCATAGCATGGCACCAATATTCTTTGATTACCAACGTACCGATATGTCTTTGAAGAAGGTTAACAATGCTTTGAATGTATTTGAAACGTACTTGCGTGATGGCGGCAAAAAATATGCTGCCGCAGATTTTCTAACTATTGCCGATTTCGGGTTGGTGTCAGCCACTTTATGCTTAGAGGCAATAGGGTTTGATATATCATCTTATCCATTGGTGCAAAAGTGGTATGAAACATTTAAACAGGAAAATCCAGAATTATGGGAAATCGGAAAAGGTGGAATGTTGGAAATCTCTGAATTCGAAAACAATCCACCTGACCTTTCTCACATGAAACATCCATTTCATCCAACTCGAAAATCGAAGGTATAAGCTTAAAGTAAATGCATTGCAAAGCAGAGGTTTTAAGTGTTTTTGATCCCAAGTAAATTTAATGCTTTGTTCTAATTATTAAGATGTATTGATATCAAATATATATATGTATGTACGAATACTACGTTTGAATATTTCTTTGGTTTGATATGATTCGCAAAACATTTTGATTTCGTAGTTAACACAGAGTGCCAGTTGCATTTAGTTTTCGGCATTAAACATCCTTTATTAAATATACACATATTTTACCATTCCGGAGGGCCTGGGTTCGAGCCCAGTTTCCGACTAACATAAAAAAAGGTTTTCTAATAGCGGTCGCCACTCGGCAGACAATTGCAAACCTCCGAGTGTATTCAGCCATGAAAAAGAGCTTTTCATAAAAATACAATCGCCGTTGTTCGGAGAGTAGGTTGTTGTTGTAGCGGCTACAACAACCCCGCCCAGATCGGCTAGTCTCTCAGTTGTTGTCGTCAAGCTCAGCCAACGGGAGACCCAAGAAGCGTGCAGCCTCTATGGGGTCTGTCCATAGGGACAAAGGCGTCAGTCGAATCGGGTTTTGTGGGCATGCGAAGAGATGTTTCGAGTCGTGGGGTGTCTCTCCGCATGCCGGACGTTCATTGGGCTCATCCGCATCTAGTCTGCTCAGGCGTGAGTTCAACCAGGAGCCAGAGCGAAGTTGCGCTATTGTGGTCCGAGTCTCTAGAGGCAGACGAAGCTCCGTCTTATCCACGTCAGGTGGTTGTGTGCTCAGAATGGTACAGGCGCTCATCATTGGCAATCAAAAGCAAAATACAAATTTTTACTGCACAATTTCCGCAGCGTTTCAGAAGGCTTTGCAGTTGAGCATCAGCAACATAACATTTAGAAAGCAACAAGGCAGCAATATGCGGTAATTATTACGTAGCTCGAACACACCCTTTTTTTCCGCCGACGAAACCTAAACGGTTATTAAAAGAATCTATAGCGGCAGAAGTGACAAATCGGGGTTTAAGGCATAAACCATTTGCCATTTGGTCATATGTGCTGCGATATGCAAGCGCAAATTAAGCATAATAAAGTTAATAAGAATTCAATTATGTACTTGTACTTGCTCGGCGGCCGCTGTGGTGTAGGGGCTAGCAGTGCGCGCTACCACCACGCTGGGCCTGTGTTGAAGCCCGGTTCAACCCAACATCAAAAATAAAAACAAACAAACAATTTTTTCTAATAGTTGACGACCCTCGGCAGACAATGGCAAATGTCCGAGTGTATTTCTGCCATGAAAAAGAGCTTCTCATAAAAAATACAATCGCCGTTCGGAGTGGGCGTAAAACTGTAGGTCCCTCCCCCGTGCTTACCAACATCAATGCGCAGTTTGAAACTATTCTGAGTGTAAATAAGTCACTCCAGAGTTATCAAAGGTTTTCGCGCATTTAATATAGGCACATGGGCTAAAAGCTCCCTTTGGTCGTAATAACTGTATTTTCTTTTGACAAAAAGATGGTCTTCGTTGTATCCAAAAAAAAGCATCAATGCAGCGAGTTAATTTTCTTCGTTTTGATAATACGATTGCGACAACCACAATAAATTCTATTGTAATGCACTATCACATCACTAACAATAAAATATGTATATATAGTTTCATCAATTACCTGAAGTCTTCAATTAAATTCCCAATCGCTTCAGAAAGCTTCCGATGCGTTCGTCCCCATGCCGATTCTTGTGTGACGTCGCCCAATAACGCTCTCGGATCTGGGTCCAAATAGTTGTCCAGTTGTTTTCGTGCGGTTTTACTAAGCAAATCCATTTTACTCAATACATTGACATGTGGCATTTCCAAATTAGCCATGACACTTAGAGCAGCCATTGTGCCAGAGAGAAATTTCGCGCCATCAACCATAAACTGAGAATCCACTAGAAAAACTGTACAAATGCGGAAATTCCAAGACTCCAACAAGTTTACTAATTGTTTTCCCATTGATAAATGTGTGAAAAGTTCTATTTGTCCAGGCATATCAAAGAGTATGTAGTCGTCATCAGGTTCCCCTCCAATTTCATCAGTGTCAGATTCTTCTCCACCACAAAGCTGCGATTTCAACCAATCTTGATTTTCTATTAAATATTCCAAGCAGAATACTAGACCGCCATTTGGACCATAGTGGAGTTCTTCATCTTCCATTGCATCGTCGAGTTGAATCAAATCACGGATATCCACCAAAGGCTGATAGTCAAAATGTTCGGCAGCGGGATCCAAGTTGACCACTTCAATGACTCGCTTTGAATCTTGGGCATGACGCTGCATATATGCGCAATATGTAGACTGTTTGTAAGAGGAAAATAATTGTTATTAATGTACATACTTTCTACTTTTTATAATTAACTTACTTTACCACTACCGGCAGGGCCAATCACAACTTGAGCGTATCGCATTTTGTTGCCAAAATAAGGAATGGCAAAGTCAGCTCTGACTTTGATCAAAAATCGACTTTTTGCTGATAAACTTCACTTTTCGGAATCGAGTTCAGTCGGTTCTCAATCGATGACTTCTTGACTATTGTCTAGTAATTAGTCCCCTTTCAGACACGTCAAGCCTTGCTTTCCATCTGCTCGTTCGTTGGCGAAGGAGGTGAGAAGAGAGGGGAGAGTACAGATACCTCCGTTCCATCAATTCGTTTCAAGTTTTCTTGACTCTTTTATCTTTTCGTTGCTTCCCATTTAATTGAATTCAATTAAAGTTGACGCGTGTGGAAGCAAAGAGAAAATACAAAAGAGAATGCGAAAAAAATTGCTTTCAAGACTTGACGTGTGGTCCACAGGGACAAAGCCGTTGTCGGGTTTTCCGGGCATGCGAAGGGATGTTTCGAGTCATGAGGAGTCTCTCCGCATGCCGGACACTCATTTGGCACATCCGCGTTCAGTATGCGGGAATGCTTTTCTTAGCCCAAAAAACTAGCAGCTCTCTCCTGTAATTTCTGCCAGTAAAATTTTTACTATAATTCAAATTTCTCCTTGCCGCTGATTTGTAAAAAAAGGTTTATTTACTAGCTACCACAACTGTCAAAATCGGCAAGCCAAAGTAGCCGTACCACTGACGGCGCCACCTCTGTTCCGAGGCGCATCCATGCAAGGTGATGGTAATTGCATATAAGTAAAAGTCCCATGTATTTGGTTATTGCTTTTTAGTACATCAGGATGTCAAAACGCAACGGAATAGGAGATAATTTTCGCCTTTCGTTTTGTTGACATCCTAAAGTTGCGCTATTTCGTCTTGGATGACATTCTCCTGAACTAGTGTAGAGACAAAAATATCCAATCAGCTGTTCAATCAACACCACCTTGTATTGATGCACCTCGCTTTGCTCGCTGCACCGTGCTACAGTTCTGTTTGTTTACAAATAATCCAGTAACTTGCCAGGAACTCTCCAGTAACTTTATTTCTAAGAATTCGCTCTCATAGAAAAAATTTTCAAAAAAGTACGCGAACGCAAATCTAGTAATAATTTGCAAGTTTCACAAACAGCTGATAAATTGGTTGTTTATTCACAGCATATTCCTAATAAAACATTATGTTTTATATTTAAATAAGTTTATTGAAAATTTTCCTATTCGCCAATCTGCTATCAACAGCTGTGAAAAGTTCAGAAACACTCCTGGTGTTACTGGCGAATTTAGATTAAAACAACAACAACCACATGTCACGATTGAGAGAATACAAAGGTGGCGCCGATCTCGGACCGCTATTCCTCTCTTAACGAATTTGACAAAATCGTTGTTTGCATGACGTCACTCTGGTGCAACCTGTTTACGTTTTCCTTGCAACATTTCTTCTTCCATTCTTGCTCACGTTTTGGCATTTCTCTCTCGCAATTGCACCAGTGTGACGTCACTCAAAATTTATTCTCAAAAATCCTCTCTGATCGGCGCAATCTTGTATTCTATCATTCTTGAATGAGAATGAGAGAGCAAGACGAACTCGACAAGAAAAAGAAGAAGCATCGAGCAAAAGGCAGTATTGCCAAGGTTTTAATTTGAAAAAGCACCAAATTTTTATTGGTGTATTTTATGGACTTTATATGAATACATAATTTTATTGTTAGGATGCCGATTCAAATTAATAAAAATCAATGTTTCTTGCACAACGGTCGATTTCTTCTGGCATGATTGAAGGTGCCGCACATATTTCGTTGTCGCTTATGATTGCCACTGTGCCATGATTTTGTTTAAATTTTTGTAAAATTGCTTAGCGCACTTACGATTGCTATACATTTTGCTTCCATTTTTTTAAGATTTTCTAATTTGAAGGGTTCAAACTAAAAACAAAAGCACCAAAAACGCACCAAGCACAAAATTAAAAATTTTCGCGTTTTGAATACCCACTAAATTTGGTGCGAAAAGCATGAAGTTGGCAACAGTGAATGTAAACAAAAGTATATTATGACGTCAGCGATTGGGTGAATGCTGTCAAATTGACGAAGAGAGGGTTAGCGAATGGCGCGACCTTTATTTTCTGGATCGTGTATTTGTATTGTGGGTGTTATGTCAAATCTCAATTCGCTCCAAAGTTTGCATGTACCAAGGCGAATTTATACAAGGTGGTGTTGTAAAATCAGCTGAATTTTTCGTCGTCATGTATTTAGCAAAAGAGGGGAAATTGAGAGAGCAAAAATGATAGCTGAACTTGCAAGTTTTACTGGATAAATTTTTACAAGCAACTATTTGCTAGTAAGAAAAACAACTGATGGCATGATACTTAGTGTAATTCACATTAACAAAATAATTGTTTGTGGTGCTTTTAGAATTGCAATTGACAAAATAAACCTATTTAAATATATAAAGATGGAAAACATTAGTTTTCTAAGAAAATTACATCGGAAAATAACAAACTAATATGCTGTTCATAAAACTAGCAACTTCTTGCTTGTGTTGCATTTTCGTACTTTCTTGCATATTTTACTCATTGGGAGTAAATATTGGCTTACTCTCCGAAATTTGGTTATTGGCAAGTTACTGGATATTTTTTGCTGGAGAATACGAAAACACAACTATTATTTTGACGTGAATTCATACAAGGTGGTGTTGTCCAATCAGCTGATTTCTTCTTCTTTCCTTCGCCTTACATGTATTTTGTTTTTGCTTCTACTGATTTGACAGCATGCCCCTGAATAGCAACAACAAAATACATGTAAACTTTGAGGCGAATTGAGATTTGACATTTTGCACCTGATCCAAAATACATGTGGTTGTTGTTTGTTGTATTCTTTCTACCACCTTGTATAAATACGCCTTGACCACCTTGTTAAATACACCTTGATTTTGACGTAATGCTTTTCAGGCGAAAAACTCAGCTGTCGGCTCAACACCACCTTGTTAAATAAATCTTGGTTCATAAAGAATAACGGAGAAGAAAAGTAAATAGGACTGAAGGCGACATTTTTTAACTAAATTGCAGCAAAATATACGAGAACTGAGTAAGATTAAATGCAACGCCAAGAACACAATTTATGTGCTGGTGTAATGCAGTAAGTAGTAATTTATGATTGCGTATACAGTTTTGACGAGTCTAAATTTTGGCCAATAACAGCGGAATAGACCAGGATTCGACGGCAGCTGCGGCAACTGCTGGTGGTCAACACATGATTTTCACCCCACCATACCAGCAATCAATACAAACTTTGCCGCATTCAATGCCTACACCATCCCCAACACCATGGAATCTTCATACAATGCCGTGGAAGTTAGCAAGCACAAATTTGGGACAAGACGGCGTTATGCAGTTCCGAGCACACGTCAATAATGAGGCTCAAAGTCGAGCTGCTCTTCATCAGAAACGCAAATCTGGAATGGAAACTCCTTTGTAAGCTAAAATCTTTTATTTACTAGAAGAACTAACATAATTTTTTTTATTTATTGTAGACCGGTCAAGCAATTTATTTCGGAAGAAAAAATTACAGCCCATTTTAATGGCTTGCACATATCTAGTGATTATATACATAATAACGCTCAAGGGAATACAAATTCCATGTCTAGCGATGAAACACCTACTACCAGTACTGGTAAATGTTTTACTAATCTCACCTACGAAGACTATCAGGTAACTGCTAAAGAATTAGAAGAAAAACTTCGAAATGCTAGTCGTTTCACTGTGTGTGACCAGTTGAAAAGACTTCATGAGCAAGAAATTAAATCCACATTCTTACCGGAAGCTCTTTTAAATCGAATCGAAAAACCATGTACCGCATTGGTGCTATGGCAGCCGCCTCCACTGCTAGAGCTGCTCCATCGTAAAAAAGAGAATGAATTGACGCCAACTAGCAGCGATAGTACAAGTGCAGATAGTTTTGGTACTACAGATATAGCGGATGCTGATACTATAGGCGATGATGATGAGTTCTCTGATCCTGATCCCGAGGTGGAAGATATCGACGACTTTGCTGACAATAACAATACATGTCGTTTGGATTTTAATAATATGAAAGCCGATCATATGGACCAGGATTTGTAGTACAAAGGAAATTAATTTGTTTTTGTATGGTCGCACACAATCTTCCAAATAGTAACGCAGTTAAAGCGGCTTCAAATCTGCCTAATTCTTGTTTAGTTTTCGAAATGCGTTATGTAAGACTAAAAATCGTCATCTTCGAACTGAAATGTAGTTAAGTATGCATGTAATTTGAAATTATTTTTCGTAATTGCGCAATATATTAATTGCGCGTATTGTATGAATGGGCACTATGTATATGCCAGAGGGCTTTCTTTGTACCTATTCAAAATTTTTATACATTTTTTTAAGCTTACAACTTATAAGATATTAACGTTTTTTCAATTAACGAATAGCGTTCGATGATGCCAGTAACAATTTTGCAATTGCTCAGAGAATTTTAATATTTCTAATAATGTGGAAAGCATATTACTTAGGGTATCTTAAACTGAATAGCGTATCTTAAATTTAATAATAAATAAATATAAATGTATGTATGTATGTTCAGAGATTTAATCTATTGTTTTGTTGTTATAAGAATATAGAATTGCTCCAAAAAGGTAATTTAAATATATTTTACATAGCTTAATAAATATATGTACAGGCAGATTCTGAACAGAAACCCCCTGGGAGTTTTCTCTCTTTTTCCCTTTCCTCCTATCATGCATAAAAATTCCCTGAGGATTTTTTTTATTAATTGGCGGAGTTGAGCTGTCAATAAAGTGTCATACAGCTTTTTCGATGTTCGAAAATGCTACTCCCTGGGAGTTAATTATTGGAGGATTCCTTTCTTGGGAGATAGAAATTCCCGGAAAACAAACTTCCCTGCAGTTTTCAGAATTGGGCTGGTAGATTGTTTTAAATATAGTCAAGGACCACCTCTTGATCGGAAAGATTGTCAGTGGTAGCCCTGAACCCGATGTGTATATGGTAAACGGGGATGTTATTCTTCCGGATGTAGCAGACAGGAAACGCGCCATGATCAAAGCATATGCCAAGGCGAATCAAGTTTGAAAGTTTTTTTTTACGAGACTTAACTCTACATTTATGCAATTGAATTT